AATATAGTGCACATTTGCAGAATGTGGCGAAGCATGAAATTGATCTCTGCTGTGGCGATATAATGACATTCAGTAAATTTTTGTTGGTCAGGGGGCTGAGAGGGTTGAGTTCACGATTCTTTCGTCGTAATTCTGTTGCCTTTCGCCATGTTCTTTGAAGATCATCGATTATCAATTAATCAAACCTGCAAAAAATCCAGAGAAAAAAAGCGCGTAATTCCAAAGAAACAAAAAACAATAAGTACAATTAAGACCAAAACATTCAAAAATTACAAGGAAATACATTTTTTTGCATTAATTTAAAATAGTACACACACACGAAATGTCTCGATGACAGCTTACATGCTCTTGAACCGTATCAGCATCTGAATCGTATCATAAACACAATTGTATTAGTATCGAAACATAGTATCTAAGTAACTACGTATAAAAATGACAAACGAAAAAAATTTCCTTTTACAGAAATAATGCACGTCGTCGATCCGACGTACAAACTATTATACAGCATAAACATAAATAGCAAACAGTATCACACAAACAAGCACAACAGGCAGGCAAAAAAGTTACACCGTACAAACAAATAAGGAAAAAAACCATCCAGCAACAACATAGATCTTTAAATATTTAAGATAGACATGGTCATTCTATATCTATCTTTTGATTTTTATAATTAAACATATACGTTAGAATAAATAAAAAACAATCTGCATAAGCCTATCTATTATTTTATGATTATAAATTTTAAATAACTTTATAGACCAAGAAGAATCTTTAATTAAAGTTACTATGTATAATGCCAGATAACGAACACTAAATAACAAGGTTCTTATATCTTATTTAACATGATTTTTTTTGATAAATTTAGTTATACTGATGAATTTGATAGTGAAATTATTTGTTCTGATAGCGAAATTAGTGAAAATGAAAATTTAGAGCCATTTTTTACTTTTAATAATGAATCATTATTATATGTACGCAAATTAGTCGAAGAAAAAATATTAGATGATGAATTACTTGTGATGTTGATTATGAGTTACCTGAAAGCTTAAGCGATTGTGATGAATGTGTAACAAAATTAGAAACTATTTTTCAACAGAAACTGAGGAAACTTTAATTTTATTGATAGATAATAATACATTACAAATATTAACATCTTGCTGTGTTATAGATGTTTTTGATAGTAAAATTCAACGATGCAATATTACAAAAGATCTAAAAAACTATGGCAACTTGTTGGGTATGTGGGAACTGCAGAAGATGCAATCAAGGAAGTAGATAATAATATTCAACGATTAGGAATTGTAGTAAACATTTTTATTTTGATCAAAATAAATTATATGAAAAAGGACTTAAACAAAAAACTCAAACGATTGATGGTTTAATTCAACACAAAAGGTGCTTGTTTATTAATAAAAAATTGAAAATTGTATTAAAAATTACACTGTAATTAAAATGTAACAAACCAGTATAATTAATACAATACAGTATACTCATTTCTAACTCCCTTTAAGCAACTCAATCGCCTAGTTTATAATAGAATTTTTTTAATTTGCAACTAGTAGATATAAAATTACAAATTTTAAAAAATAAAATTGTAAATTTGATATGACTAAATTTAGGAACAAATTCGAGTCTAGTAACGATCATTTAATGGTAGTTAGTTTGTTGTGGGGTGGACGTATACATGATCTCCGAGCAAATTTTTTTATATATATAGTATGTTGGGTTGCATAACTGTTATTAATTCAGAATTTCATATTAAAACATCAATTATGCATGTCTTTAGTTATAATAAAAGTTAACTATTAACACAAGAAAATTTCCCCATATAAATAGATAAATAAAGATTTCATTTAAAAGCAGGACCATCAAATCCACCATCTTGACGGGTAAAAACCTGGTTCTCACTGCTGACACCCCACAAAATACCATCGATACTAATTGAGACATATTTAAGAGAGCCATCATACTTGAACCATTTTCCTCGAGTATATTGAAAATTTTCGTTAGAGGCGTTTGTGCCAACAATATATGAAGCGTTACTAGTGTCAACCTGTTTAAGTTTAGTATCTTTATCATCACGGATTTGTTCCCTATACATAAAAAATAAATAAATAAATAAATAAATAAATAAATAATATAAGAGGACACAGTGTACAGCTCATATATTTGATTGGTCGTACCAAGCAGCTCCGTTCCATCTAAAAATCTCATCATTACTATTAACGCCCCATGCTGTTCCATCAGCAGCTACAGATACATTTTTCAATGATCCTGGCACTAAGTATGTTAAGAATCATTTGATGAACATGATTTTAAATAGGGGCAAAATCTGAAATGTATTTTCTAACCATTAACCCAAGAGCCATCAATTCCACCATTACGGTAAAAAATCTGATTCTCACGATTGACACCCCAAACATGATTCTTGTCTCCAACTAAAGAAATAGATAGATAAATATTAACACTAAGAAAAATGAGAATTTTAGCATAATAATTATAAATACCTGATATTTGGACTAATTTACCATCGGCTTTCATCCTTTTAAATTGAAGAAAATTAGTATTGAAAGTACTATAAAAATATCAGCAAAAGATACATTACGTACCATTTATCATCAACGCGAGTAAAGACTTCGTCGTACCAAACTGTCCCATCGATACCAACTCCAACATTGGCTACATCCCCAGCGCCCATACCTTTCCAACCTTCAGAAGTGTATTGCAGATCTATTCAAGAATAGGTTAGACTTTTATAACTCTACATATGATGTAACATGAGAAAAAGATAATGTTTACCCCTTGATCTGTACCGACACCCCAAGCGTTATTTCCACGACCAATGGAAATTTGGGTAACACCACCAGGAAGACTTTGCCAATTCATAGCCATAGTCGCAGTTGTTTAACTAAAAGAAAATTGATAACGATAAAGGAATTAATCAATGTTTTTTATGCCTGCTGGCATGAACGCCAACTATCTGATTTTGTTGATGTTTATTTCGAATTATTTCTTTTGATTGTCAGTAAAGTATTTTGATGTATCCTCGTGAGCAGCCAGTTTGCCATTTTATCCAAAAAGAAAATTGTTTATTCGAACGGAAACTTAAAATCTCAATCTCGATAAAGATAATGCATAAAACCGGTAGTATATCGAAATAAATTTCTTAAATTATCAATCTCAATAAAGCGAAGAGCATAAAAATAATACGTACGTCAAGAAACCAAGAATAAAATATGTACTAAATAGCAGCTAGTCTATGCATACACTGCTGAAATTTAGGGTCAGCCGCTACTGAGAATGACAAATTTAGCTTATTTCAAATCAGTCAGCTGAACATTATTCTATATAAAGTGCTGAGGCAACCTCAATAAATTTCTTAAATTATCAACCTCAATAAAGTGAAGGGGCAGGAATAAAATTTAATCCCGACGTGACAATTAATATTTAAAGATTAGTAATTACATTAATAATCATTGTCAGACTTTAAATTTTTAATTGTCACATCACGAGATGTCAGTATTATGACCTGTCGAGATTTTGGTGTCGGGAATTTGTGGTAGAACCAAAATTTAATACCGTTGAAGAGTGTATATTCCCAAAATTTAACGACAACTATTACGTACCAGAGACAAAAACGATTTGCATATATGATAATCAATAGTATAACGTGCTAATATATTATTATACGTACGTACGTACGGTGCAGGAAATTTAAAAATCTCAATCTCTATTCTAAGATGATGCATAAACTAGTAACTCATTGAGAATAAATTTCTTAAATTATCAATCTCAATAGAGTGATGGCA